CCATCGAGTTGATTCCAACTCACAACGACCCTGTACAGTGTTTCCAAGACAGCTGGTGGATTTGAACTGCCAACCATGTGGTTTGCAGTCCAGTGCTTATCTTACAGTTCCACACCAGGAGTCCAGAGTAAGTAATGGGCATCGGAATTAGAATCCTGCTTTCAGTATGTACTAATGCTACATTGGGTGGGAAGCTTATCAAAGCTCTACAAAATTCAACCAAAACCTGTTGTTCAGTCGATGTTGGTTCATGGTGACTGTGTATTATAGAGAGGAACTGCTTCATAGGGCTTTCTTGGCTGTAATCTTAACATTTGACTGTGTAGATCAAAAAAAACTATGGATAACATTACGAAGAATGGGTATTCCAGAACAATTCATTGTGTTCATGATGAACCTGTACATAGACCAAGAGGCAGGCATTTGTATAGAACAAGAAGATACTGTGTGGTTTAAAATTGCATCCTTTCACTATGCTTACTCGATCTTTATGCAGAACAAACAAATCTGAGAAGGTAGACTATATGAAGAAGAATGTGGCATCAGGATTGAAGGAAAGGGTCATTAACAACATGTGATAAACAGATGGCACAATCTTGTTTGCTGGAAGCAAAGAGGACTTAAAATACTTACTGATGAAGACCAAAGACCACAGCCTTAAGTACAGATTGCAGCTCAATGTAAAGAAAACAAAAATTCTTACCACTGGACCAATAAATAACATCATGGTAAATGTAGAAGAGACAGAAGTTATCAAAGATTTCCTTTTGCTTGGATCCACAAACAACATTCATGGAAGCAGCAGTACAGAAATCAAAGGATGTATTGTATTGTGCAAATCTGTTACACAAGACCTCTTTAAAGTGTTCAAGAGCAAAGCTATCAATTTGAGGACTAAGGTACACCTGATCCAAGCCATGGTATTTTCAATAGCCTCATATGCATATGAAAGTTGGACAATGAGTAAGCAAAACCGAAGGAGATGCATTTGAATCATAATGTTGGAGAAGAATATTGAAAAGAACCAGGGACTGCCAGAAGAACAAACACATCTGTGTTGGAAGAAGCACAGCCTGAATGCTCCTTAGAAGCCAGGATGGCGACACTTCATCTCTTATATATTGGATATGTTGTCAGGAGGGGCCAGTCCCTCAACCCTGTATATAATTTATGAGGTTGTAAATCTTCCCGGGAGCAGAACGCCTCATTCCCTTCCCCTTCCCCTGCGTAGAGTGTCTGGTCAGCTTTGAATACCAACTCTGTGGTTCACAGTCCAGTGTTTATCTTACAGAGCCACCGCCATTCCTTGGTAAAGTGGAGGGTCAGTGAAAACTAGAACGACCTTCACTGAGATGGAACGACACAGTGGCAGCGGCAGTAGACTCAAACATAATTGCGAGGATGGTGCAGAACCAGGCCTGGGTTCACTTTACTGTGCAGAACTGACTCGATGGCACCTAACAACAATCTTACCAGGAACAGCTGGACAGGCCTCTCTGCTGCTGTGTGGGCTCCAACCCCCATCCCTTCCACTGGTGAACAAGCATAGACAGTTTGTGCCTCACAAGGGTCTTCAGTGCTCTGTAAGTCTTCCAAAGTCATGATGAACTCTGAACCGAGATTCTGCTGAAAATGGAGGGCAACGCCCCCCAATGAAAGGCCATTTTAATCCGTCACCTTCTGATTGTTGATTGGTTGGGTTCTGTTTCTGTTTGTCCTTTTACTTACCTTTAAAAGAATTTCTTAAATATATTTCAAAGGGCAATCATTGGAAAAGCTACCACCTGTCTGTCAGTTTGTTGTGCTGTGGTGGCTTGTGTGTTGCTATGATGCCGGAGGCTACATCACCAGGATTTCAAATACCAGCAGGGTCACCCATGGTGGACAGTTTTCAGCAGAGTTTCCAAACCAAGGCAGACTAGGAAACAACCCTGACAATCTACTTCCAAAAATGAGCCAACGAAAACCTCTTGGGACACAACAGAACACTATCTCACTCACTTGCCTTGGACACATCATCAGGAGGGATCAATTGATGGAGGCAGACATCATATGTCTTAAAGTCGAAGGCCAACAAGGCTGAGAAGGCCCCTCGGTGAGACACATCGGCATAACAGCTGCGGCAGTGAACTGGAAGATGCTAACAACCAGCAGGGCGACCCAGGACTAGGGAGCGTTCTCTTCTGTGGTACAGACAGACATCAGGAGTCAAAACTGAAGGGAGGACTATTCTCTCTCGATGTGGTTGGAAAAGGTTTTTGGGTTTTTTGATGGAATTCTTACTCTGTTAATGATACACTGTTTGCACATGAAATCACTACAAATACGTGCATGTACGTTGCTGTAGGAGCACCAGTAGCTCCATAGGATAAGCATTGGACTGTGAACCCCAAGGTCAGTGGTGTGAGCCCAACAGGCACGTTGCGGCTTTCTGCTTCTGTCCAGCCTGCGTGGACACTTTTATATCACAGAAGGGCACAGTGTAGACTTCAGCCTGGCACCTGGGAAATTTAATAGTGTTCATTCACCAAGTCTCTGGAGTCAGTTAAAAAATAAAACAAAACAGGGTATCACCTGACTTAAGTAAATGGTTATCCTTTCAGCAAGCACTTGCTAACAATCACCTAATTTAATTGTTCTCTGGCAAAATATTAAATTGAGTCTATGTTTCCTTTACCTGTGGCAATCAGTAAACACTTTTCAACTTTTCTTTAATGTTTTTGATCACTAAGAGGGGAAGAATGCATAATAACTGCAACTGTGGTAAACGGTTCACAACCACAGGTTAAACACACACATACAAAACAATACAGAAAACACAGAGACACATTTACATAGCCTTTTACTCTTTCAAGGAACAAAAAAAGCATAATTCCCTAATTTTAAAAGTTTACACAACTTGTCTTAAAATATATTCTGCATTTTATTGCAGAAATAAGTTTTGTTAAGGAAAAAGGAAGAACAGATCACCAATCAGGAAATGAAAGCGATAGCCAATGGGCTCTGCTGCCATACTGTGGCTTCTCCACAGCTGACCATCGAGGACTGTGAGGTGTGTCCATCTATAACCCTGTCTCCAGTCCAGCCTACCAAACAGGTCAATGCTGCTACTGAACACTTGCCCAAGATTCAGGGCTGGGCTGATGTTTGCAGTCAGCTTTGCATCAAATAACAACTACCGTTTCTCTGGTAACTCCTTAGTCTATTCACCACAGGTCTTTAGATTGGAGCAAACAAAAGAAGTAACAAAAGCAGTGTATCTTTTATCGAGACAGCGTGTTCATCAATGACAATGATCATTCTGGTCCATGAGATTTCATCAGACATTTACGGAAACATCAGCATGGATGTCGTACTATGAGAAAAGATAGGCAGTTTTCATAAGGAGCATTAACAAACAGACCATGGAGTAGATGGTCATAGCGATGCCCACTTTAAATATTACCCAGTTGCCCTGGTGTGGACAAACTAACGTATCAAACAAATTCTTACTTGGCAGGTGCATGGAAAGTGTGCGTATGAGAAATAAAGTGCCTTTAATTGGCTTCTGGGATTCGGAACATTGGTCCACGTTTACATCTTCATGTTGGCTCACGCATCTTGTTCACATGGCTTCAATAGTAGATATTGGAGTTGTTCTCATAAAGTTCTTGTACCTGTTTTCACCTAGTGTGTATATACACCCTCATAAGAATGCACAGTTCATAGCTATAGTGATTCTTGGTAGGTTTTGAGAAGGTGGCCTCAGCATTCTAGCTAAAGTGAACACAAGGACAGATTGAGTATACATCTCCCCACAGAGTGAGCATTCTTTATCCCCTGCACTGACTGTGCAGAAAGGTGGCATAGTTGCAGTTTACAGCCTGAAGGTATCAATCAATTCACAGGCAATGTAAGCCCAAAGGAGGATACATTTTATCCTGGGAAAGAGAGTAGCTCAAATTGCCTCTTTTTTTCCAATTCCTGAAAGATGTTCCATGGAATATAGTCACAGAAGGGTTGGTGATAAACCTTCAGAAAAGAAAAGTGTATACTATAAAGGAAATTGACAATCACCCAAGATCTGGGGAAATGATTCCCAGAATGATAATTCATTTGAGGCACTAAAGATGCAAAAAAAATAAGTTTCTTCAGGGTTAAGAACGATTTTATATATATATATATATATATATAAGCAAACTTCATTGAAAACATTACACATTCTTTGGGAGACTGGCAATAGACAAGATCCTAACTACTGCGTTAGTCAATAGTGGTAGCAAATTAAACAGAGAAGTTTGAAATGGCAAGCCATCACACACTGAGAACCGTTGCACTCTTTCGGTCTTATTACATGTGAATTGCAAGTTTACAATTGAAATCCGACGCTCAAAATCAAACACAGCCAAAAACGATTCAGAAGAATTCAGTAAAAAAAAAAGAGCAATGCAAACAGACCACCACCAACAAAACAAATTTCCAGTCTACTGATGTATTGTAAAGAACATAATACACAGAAAGGCAAAGGGCTTTGTATACTTTGGGCCACAGGAGATGTCAAAGGCAGCCAAACAGGATCGTAGAAGCATTTCCAGGTGGGTGAATAACACCATGGGAACATCAAAGAATATGTTCTTAAATAAAGCAAAGCTGTTGTGGTTCAAGTTTAACTTTTACCACTAACAAAAGTTATGCATCACATGGTGAAGAGACCGGGGCTGAAATTTTCACATTTAGAAACCACAGTCATGAAGCAAGTCAGACTTCCGTTTTACATCCTATCAGAGCACTTGGAAATTAACAGTAATATCTAAGTCCTTTTACGCAGCATGAGCACTATGGGATATATGTCGCTGAACGAGGCCTCCTGAAAGCCATCTTGAGCCTGGGCAGAGCAGGAAGGCATTTTTTGCAAATCCATTGCCTGAACATTCAATGTTAAGAGCATATTTTGTGTTCATTGAGAGCCCCTGGCTATTAAAACAAATGGTCATAAATAGGAGTCAAACCATGGCTGCCAATCAGAAGAAGTACTCTTTGTGATTTTCATAAATTGCATGTTGTACATTAAGCTCACTTTTCAAAACAGCCTCCGCACTGTCTACGTTCTCTGACCTTTTTGCCTCATTTCTCTTGTATAACCTTTTCTGCTGATAAATGCGCACAGCTATGGCAGCGATGCAGAGCAAGATGAAGACCACAACTGCTATCAGACCTAGTGAGAGGGCAGAGAAGAAGCACAGAGTCAGAGGTTCTGTCCAGAGAGAAATGGGTTCAGAGCATGATTTACTACGTTGTCAAAATGTATTAGTACATAAATCAAGTACCTACTATACTCGATGATGGAAATATGAAAACCAAGTATTGCTGAGTCAAGCATTACCACAATGCTGAATTTACTGCTGAGTTCCATCATCCTGGGGGGTTCAAGTCCATTGATTCAGAATGCATATTCTAATAGTGCATTTGTATGAAACACATGCCTGTTGGTGGTAGGTGCCGTCTAGTCAGTTCAGACTCACAGCGACCGGAGTGCACAGTGCAAAGAAGGTACCACTGGCCTGCCCTGTGCCATCCCCAAAGTCACTATGTCTGAGCCCCTCGTTGCTGCCATCATGTTCGTTCATCTCATTGGGGGTATAGAGAGATGACTACGTGTATTTAAAACCATGTGGCCACTTCATGTTAATACACAGACAAGTCTTAATCATTTAGCAAGTATAGGACAGTACCACCATCTTCAAAAGATTCAATATGCTTTTGAGTTTAAATATACACCAATTATAATGCAGCTGATTTTCAATGATGTATCATGACTCGATAGCACTTAACGTTATCATATATATATATAT